ACAACACAATAATACTAGAAGTACATGCCGATAAACTAAATAACGCAGTATGTCGACGAAATATGGTCGGCAGTCCTCCGAGGGGGGTGCCCATGGTGGTAGATTATCGGTAGACGGTGCATGTAATCAGGAACCAGATGGTGACACAAGGCGCAGAGACAGCGATTTAGACAGGTTCGGGCCGTCTGGTCGATGTAATACCCTACGTCCTGTGTCTTTGGTATATTGTATTGAGATGTATATAGATTCACCTGTCCTCTAGGGGACCCTTGTCTCTCCTTATATACTCCGAAGAAATAAGGTTACAAGTAAAGTATCCAATTTGGTACTATTACAACATCTAGCACAACTTGTAATCTTGATGTGCACGCCTTGATCTTACGGGCCGGGCCACCTCGGATGATGCGGCCCATGTACCATCTTGTGGTACCCAGGGGTATATCCCCCACAGCTAGTCCCCGAACGCCATGTATTCTGATGCAACACGCCGTTTCAACCTTCTCAGAACAGTGAGGCTTGAGTTCTTGACATCTCTGACCACCATTGTCGCCGGAGAAGTAGGTTGTCCGAAGAATGTATGGTGCTCTTAAGAAGAAAGAAAAAGATTTCTGTCCTGGGAAGTGTGCCCACTTGTATTTTTGAAAAGAAATGTAAGTGCGCCTTAAAGCGTAGCGTCCTTGATCATCAGAGGCGTAGGGGTCAAAAAACAAACACATTCACCGCAAGGTAAAGTGTGCCCACTTAGTCCCCGAGCCTGGTAGTAGGTGATTTTGGCACGTGGTGCCAGGGTCTAAAAAGAATTCCCAGTTAAGTTGAGAACCCAATCGTTGTACAGGCGATACGAGATGCACCGGCAGGTGCATTGTACTGATGTAGTCCCCAAGCTTACTAGAAGGCGAGGTATGAGCCTTGTAGCAAGGTCTAAACGAGAAAGAATATCCCAACTGAATCCCAACTATATGCGAGTCGCCAGTCGCATGTAGTTGAGACGCAAAGTCCCCGAGCTATGGTCGGAGAGTGATCGAGGCAGTCCCCGAGCATAGGCCAAGGAGCGAGCGACGAAGTCCCCGAGCTATGGTCGGAGAGTGATCGAGGCAGTCCCCAAGCGTAGGTCAAGAAGCGAGCGATGAAGTCCCCGAGCTGTGGTCGGAGAGTGATCGAGGCAGTCCCCGAGCGTAGGTCGACAAGCGAGCGACGAAGTCCCTGAGCTATGGTCGGAGAGTGATCGAGGCAGTCCCCGAGCGTAGGTCGAGAAGCGAGCGACGAAGTCCCCGAGCTGTGGTCGGAGAGTGATCGAGGCAGTCCCCGAGCACAGGTCGAGGAGCGAGAGACGAAGTCCCCGAGCATAGCTCGAAATTCCTGCAATATAAATATGTAGAATGGTAGTACATGATGTACAAAATAATAAATTATGGAGAAAAATCAGCGGTGAAGAAATAGCGTATGACGCTCAGTAGTCATTTGCAAATGAGCATGATGTGATAAAGCAGTTGGTGCTTTGTAAATATCAGTGTTAATATGAAGTTTGTGTTTATACTTAATATAAACCGCCCGACCAGTTAGTATGTCGCTGAGTCTCCAGCCCTAGTTAGCCCGTTAACCATAATGCGGGGCGCGGAGCCCATGCACATGTAGGAAGAACAAAGCGTCGCTAAGGAGCTGCTGCCGACCACCCATAACGCAGAGGGCAAACGCTCGTGCACGTGTAGGGAGGAGCCGGAGACAGGGCCGTCTCTGGAGGCATCGAGCGTCAACATGACTGGTCCAGGATTTGCATTAAGTATAGCTGTATGTTATATTTAAGATGGTATACATGGACAAACGCTATTTGAAGAATAATCATGACCAGGACGTTATGGAGAAATGTCGTAATGAAAATTATATTAAATATAAATATTAGAAGTGTACTTATCTTTGGATAGAAATCTGGTCGGCGGTGATGAAGTCGTCCGGTCCTCGAGCTTTCCGACCTGTCGTCATGACGGTGGTCGCGGTTGTCGTAGCGCCGTTCTTCGCGGCGATCATCATTGCGACGTGGTCTGGTGATCGATGTGGTCGGAGCTCGGCGGAGCTGCTCGGGACGTGGTCGACGTGGTCCATGGTCGACGTGGTCGGAGCTCGGCGGAGCCGCTCGGGACGTGGTCTGGTGGTCTGGTGGTCGGAGCTCGTCGGAGCCGCTCGGGACGTGGTCGATGTGGTCTGGTGGTCGAGGCGGAGTCAGAAGTCCACCGAAGGATCTAGACGAGGGTCCGAGTTCTCGTGGTCATTGTTGATCTCATGGTGATGAAAGCCGTGCGTCAGCAGCAAGGAAATATTCCTGTATGCATGCTTGTTCGTGACGTCAGCTTGTATGGCTCGATGCGGCTCGATTGATGGCCTGACATGGCTCGCTAGTCAGGTCGGCCGGCTTGCTTGAAGGCTTGGATCTTGTCGCAGCTTGTTTGATGTTGGTTGATACAACGGTACATAACCATGTACGTATTAATTTCCAAACAATCATGCATCCGTGCAAACTGATCCGTACGGCTGACCAGCTTGCTTTGCACGACCTCCTTGCTGGCTTGCCGTCGTTCGGCTGCTTGTTGCTAGATACGCCCAGTCGGAGTTCTAGCTCCTGCCAAAAATAGTTATGTAGATGTGGACACATCCAATATATATTTCATAGAATAGTTAATTGAAATAGGAAACACGACTTAGCTTGTTCCATATTGATACACGTGACCCACGCATGTGCATACTTGCATGCAAGCCGAAGGATCGTTACCGTCCTTAGCGAACTTGTGTGGTCTTGTAGATTGGACATGGCCTAGTATTGGATGCCTTGTTATCGTCTCCATGGGAGATAGGTACGATCGTCTTGGCCTTTGCTGGTCCGAGTCAGAGTAGGATCCAGCGGGCCGGAGGTCGGTTGGAGCGGATCACGCCACGTAGGCCGGTGTGATCGGCTTCGTAGCAGATGAGGCAGCAACTGGGAATCGACGCCCCGCCTGCACCCGATGTCACGTTGGGGCGTGACACCACGGATGATATTGATGGTCGATGATGAGGGCCGGCATGAGCGTTGATGTCATCGGAAGCCAGGTTCCATGGACGATGTTGATGAAGAAAATCGCCATCTGATTCATTGGAAGATCAGCACACACAACCCCTAAAAGGGGACCCCTACCTAGCGCGCCACTATCGATAAAATATGGTCGGCAGTCCACCGAGGGGGTGCCCGTGGTGGTAGATTATCGGTAGACGGTGCGTGTAATCAGGAACCAGATGGTGACACAAGGCGCAGAGACAGCGATTTAGACAGGTTCGGGCCGTCTGGTCGACGTAATACCCTACGTCCTGTGTCTTTGGTGTATTGTATTGAGATGTATACAGATTCACCTGTCCTCTAGGGGACCCTTGTCTCTCCTTATATACTCCGAAGAAACAAGGTTACAAGTAAAGTATCCAATTTGGTACTATTACAACATCTAGCATAACTTGTAATCTTGATGTGCACGCCTTGATCTTACGGGCCAGGCAACCTCGGATGATGCGGCCCATGTACCATCTTGTGGTACCCGGGGGTATATCCCCCACGCAGTACATGACCTAAGTACGTCTATACTTAAAGTGCATTATATGACAACACAATGAAAAGTACAAGACTAGACAACATTGTTCATGAATAAACCATAAAACTAGCAAGTCATGGAGACTATTGAGTACAATGAGGCCACTTTCCATTCCTCATGGCATCGAAATTCTCATCCATCGCTTCTTTCGCTCGACACGCACACTCAAGCTTCTTCTCCCTCTCCTCCCTATACGCAGCAACACGTCTCCTTTCCTCATCTTCCTTGTGTTCTTTTTCTGCAGCCTCCCCTGTGTCTCTTCTCCTTCATCTCCTTGTTCTCTGCCTCCCACTTTAACAGTTTCTGCATCCACTCCTTGTCTTCCTGCTTGATCTTAGTGTCGATCCACTGCTCAATCACAAAGCGGTGGAGGGATCTGCAATACATTCAAATGTTACACACCAAATAAACTATGCATGACTTCATATGACAAAATAATTATTACATAACATCAATTTCTCATCATCTTGTTCATGCGGCGTTGATGAAGTGTAGGCTCAAACGCAAAATTGGCACACATCCAATACCTCTGCCTATACGTGCCCTCTTCATCGGACTGGGCTACCTTGCAAAGTTCACCGCAAAAGCACATGGGCACTGGAACACCACTAGGCAGAGGCAATGGGTCGAAGGCATTTTCGGTCATCCGGCCATAACTACAATTCAACCAATTTCGTTGTAAGAACCGAAAGCAATAAACCCTAAAACCTAAACCTAGGGTTTCTCATTTGATGGACAACAATGAACCCATAAAATAACAAGATGCGTTGAGGTTACCTTGGTTTGCTAGCTTTTCCACGCCTTGGCGTCCTACGGTTGAATAATACAAATATTAAAAATTAGATAAAACCCTAAGTAGTACAACTAATATATACCGAATCGATGTGAAAAAAAATTAGGAGGGGAGCGAGAATACCTTACTCTCGAAGATCTATGGATCAAATCCAAGTTTATAAGGTTTAATATGACGATTCTTGAGGTAGGGCGAAGTGGGGAAAGCAAAAACTCGAAAGGGAGGAGTAAGAAAAAGAAGAAGCCTCGGCCAGGAAAGGGAGTGCTGATTTTAAACAGCAGCACAGCGCCGTAGATCTTGGCGCCATGCTCGGCGCCAAAGACCACGGCGCCAAGCACAGCGCCAAAGTCTGCGGCACCGTGCTACCTACCAGGTCACCGTCACGTTTGCGTCGACGCCTACGTGGCCCCGAAACCTAGGCACCAAATATGCTAGCGCCGAGACGTGTTAGCTCAGCGCCAATTACCCTGGCGCCGAGCTGAATGTCTAGATTTTGAAAGCATACCTCTATAGGCAGATTCGTAAAAAACTTTAAAAAAAGGGGGAAAACAAAAAAATCGGAGACATAGGGGGCTGCCCGGGGAGACGATGGTTATCTATATTACCAGATAGGTGAGCATGTAGACACCGGCCATGAGGGAGGTGGTGGCGGACCAGCGTCGGCGCACAAGGATGCCGTAGAGGTTGGCGACGCTGACCGGCCAGAGGAAGTCGAGGTCGAGCCAGACGAGGCCGCGGAAGAAAGGCGGCCGGTCGGCCACGATGTGGTTGTCGAACTCGGCGATGAACCACCGGAACACGTCCACCAGCGGCGGCGGGTAGAGGCTCAGCAGGAGGACGACCTGGGAGTCGAACAGCGGCGCCGCCACGGCCATGATCAGCGAGAAGAGAGCCGCCACCGCGTCCAACGCCGACGAGGCCACAGCCATTGCGATTGCAGGTAGTACCTGCGATGTGATGTTGGGTTGGTTGAGTGCTTAATTGGTTTCGGCCTTTAATTTGAGTGATGGGAAGAGGTGACGTGCCATGTGCAAATTTTACTCTCTTCATCTCTATCTGGTACTATAGAATTGTTTGCCAGCGTGTCGCAACATGGGAGGCTATGGCCTGATGCTGCCACTGCCAGCTTCGAAGCCATTGACGAACTGGTGATTCTAGAATTTTTTTTATCTGGTTTTCGATGTCTTACATTTTGCGTGAAGAGACATGGAGAAGACATGATGCATACTCTCTTATTGTTTTAGTTTTTTAGATGCATAGTCGAAGTTATATACATATAACTAGAAAAGCTAAAAGGACATACAATTTAGATGGAGGTATCGATTAACAGCCTATTCGCTTGCTCGTATCTGACGGCTTATCAGCCAACGAACAGTATTTTTCTCTCACACCAAACCAACCAACAATACTTTTAGCCATGGCTAAGCCAAACCAGCCCAAACGAACAGGGCGTAAGTGAAACAAAAGTTGAGAAGACAGAAAGAGGTATTGCTTAAGTGGAACAAAAGTACTGAAGACGTGTATGCAACTACAATTTGAATTAAATAAAAATGAGCCTGCCTTGAGAGATGACACATGCGCAGTCAGTTTACTGATAACACACATATATATATATATATATTACACCTGGGTGCATTCTATATAGAGAATGCACCCAGGCCAAACCGATCGACACGCGCGCCTATCTGGTCTAGCCCGCACGCGCCCGAGGCCGCCTCGCCCGCACCACCTGGTCCGCACGCCCGCACCACCTGGTCCGCACGCGGCACGCTCCAGCAAACCGCCTCCACTCCCTCTGTTCAGTTTCCATTGCTCTTTTTCTCGTGAGGAACCGCCGTCGCTTTCATGCTACTGCCACGCTTTCGCCGAGAAAAATCGCCCCATTGCTCCGCCGAGAAAACCGCCCACTCGCCCTTCATTTTTGTCGCTGCTCCCCACCCCAGTACTCCCCACACCCCAAGGCTCTCCATTTGCGCGCTTCAAGCGTGCTGCGGTTTCCGCTCTCCATTTGCCGCTCTTGATTTCTGGACCTAGGGTTCGGAAAGTCGCCGTGTTGAGGCGCTCAAATTGAATCCGCCGCTTTTATCCCGATGTAAGTCATCCCCATTCCCTATCCCTACTTAATTTTGAATTGAATTCGTTTTAACTGGCTATTACGCTCGTTTGTAATCGGCTTTTTTATGGTTTGTTTGCAATTTAGAGGATCCATGGGGCAATTGCAATTGTAACTATATTAGTACTTAATTTTGTAATTTTTGCGATGACTTGTGTAACTAGCCTATTTGTCCTTATGTTTGCAACTGGTAGGGTGTTGTAGTTGTAAATGGTCGACAATTCATCTAAAATTCAACTGATTTTGTAACTATTGCTGCAACTCACTTAATCTGAAGGTGCATCTCTAGTGTTTTATCGGTTGCAATTGGTTGACAATGTTGTTTTGTTCATTTCTGGGTTCTAATATGTAGAGGATACTGTTCGATTTTTGTTTTGTTTTGATCTATGACTCATGGGCTCAAAATGACACCATTTTTTCATGGGTTCTAATATATGCATGAATTGGGACTTTTTTGTTTTCGATAACCTTATAAGTGTTGATGGACATAGTACATACGTCGGACTCAAAACCTTTCATGTTTTGCTCTTGATGACTTGTGTAACTAGCTTCTAACCTTAGTTGTAACTGGGAGGATGTTCTAGTTGTAATTTGTTGACAATTCATCTGAAACTAAACTGAAATTGTAACTGTTGCTACATCCGGCTTTTTCAATCTTTTTTGAAGGTGCAAGTGTAGTGTTTTATTGCTCGCAAATGGTTAACAGTGCAATTTTATGTTTTATTCTCTTTTTTTTGTGCAACTGGCTTTTTTCTGATGTGTATTTTTTTTCAATGGCAGTGGTTATAATGAATTCGGAAGGGAATGTATCAGGTTCCTAGGGCAGTGACCCTCCCCGACGTTCCTCCCGTGTTGGTTCGCATGAGCGAATATATCAGTGCTCAGGCGTTGACCCCCCTGCGTTCCCCTGCTTTTGCTCACCCGAGCCGAAAAAGGCTGAATGTATACAAGTCGAAGGGCAGGAAGAAGAGATTAAGGCTCCCCAGTCCACCCCGACCTGATGTTGAGAGTGAAGTGCATGAACGACAGGAAAGAGAGCAAGATCCAGATTTTGATCCTGGCACTGATGGTGACGCAGGGAGTGAACAACATGGAGAGGATGATGCCGAGGCTGGCGGCGATGGTGACACTGGTCCTGATGGTGATGGGGACGCAGTGAATGTAGCCAATAAGAAGAGGCCCCGCAAGCAGTCTCCTGCAATTCGTTGCTCTCCTTCAAAATTTCATGAACTTCTCAAAGCTCTCCCTGCTGACCTCGAAGATATAGTAAAGGCAAGGGGTTTTGGTGGATTGTTGGGATTCAAACCAACCTGCCTAGATAGGAAGTTGCTCACCTGGCTTATGTTGAGGCTTAACCCAGAAACAATGAAATTAGAGCTTGGTGGTGGTAAAGTGATTGATGTTAATGAGCACACTGTTTGGTGTCTGTTCCAGATACCCAAAGTTGGCGGTGACCCACCTTATATGTCTGACGCTGAAGCTCGTATTAGGCGGAATGAGTTGGGAGAACAAATCTGTCCCAGTACATACAAAAGGCTGGGTATCAGGATTGCGGATATTGTGGATGGACTGAAGAGCAAGAAGCTCACGAGGGATTTGGGTCTCAGGGCATTGTTATGGCTATATTCCAGTCTCTACTTTTCTCAAACACTGATAGTTGCATCAGGCTTGAGGGTGTTATATATACTGAGGATCTGGACAACACTGGCAAGATTAATTGGTGCAAAGCAGTAGTGGACAACCTTAGCAAAGCTGCACGTTTGTATAAAAAGGATTTCATGGCGAAAGGGCGTCCATGCACCTCTCACGAGATGCGGTATTTTTCTTATGGTAAGTTTTTGTTGCATTTATTGGCTTTTGTGACACTAGTAGTTTTCCCTGGTTTGTGTAGTAGTTTCTCCAAAACACACATTTTGTTCATGGCAAGAGTTGCAAATGGGGTCATGGCACGATAGTAATTGTGTTGTAGTTTTGTTGCAATTGGGTCATGTTTCCAGTAGCAATTGGTCTCCTGTTGATCTTTTCTTATCTAGCATTCTTTATATTTTTGACTTGTAATTTTCTGCAGTAGTTTTTGTTGCATTTACTGGCTTGTTACACTAGTAGTATTTTTTTTCTGGCTGTGCATTTAGTTTCTCAAGAGTTGCTAGTAGGGGTCATGGCACCATATCAACTGTGTAGTAGTTTTTGTTGCAATTGGGTCATGTCTCCAGTAGCATTTGGTCTCTTCGTTGTTTTATTTTTGTCTATCATCCCTTGTATTTTTTACTAGTATTTTTTCTCGTAGTAGTTTCGGTTTGCATTTTTTGGCTTGTTACACTAGTAGTAATTCTCTTTGGTCATGTAGTAGTTTCTCCAAAACACACATTTTGTTCACGGGGCAAGAATTTGGAACTGGGGTCATGGCACCAGTAGCAACTGTTTAGTAGTTTTCTGTTGCAATTGGTTCATGTCTCCAGTAGTAATTGAATTGTTCATGCCATCATGAGCAATTGTGTAGTAGTTTTCTGTTTGCAATTGGGTCATGTCTTCATAGAGTAATTGGTGTCCCGTGTGTGTTTTGTTTTGTCTTTTTTTTTATACATGCGGATGCTATACGTTGATCACTTGCAAGATGGGCTGCTGTGTGTAGACTCGTTCGCGCCCCCCGATGTGCTATTTTGGATAGCAAAATTATCGGCAAAATTACAACATTGGATCGCAGGGGAGATGTTCCAGAAGATGCTATTGAATATGGCAACCTCAGGGTAAGATGTTGATAATCTGTTTTTTTCTTTTTTTTATTTTTTTCTTTTTTGCATGTTTTTTTATCCAGTATGTGATTTTACGTTTCGGATAACCAGTTTCATTTTTTTTTTTAAAACTCAGTGAGTTGAGAAACATTGCCGCCACATGTTATACACCCCGCTTTTGTCCCAAATGCTCCTGCTATTGCTTTTCCCTCGCCTTTCTTGCTCTTGAGGGAGCTTCTTATGCTACTGGTACCTCAATGGACGTGGCTAGCACACATCATCCTTCAAGCGGGCATGTCGCCATGGAGCTTGACCTCTGTTCTACACCAATACCCGAGCTTCGATCTTTGCTTTTGGCGAGCATTGCTGATGTAGTTGGAAGAAGTAGGAAGCCGAGGCGCTTAAGATATTGAAGGCTTTTGATGACAAGATCTTGCCAGGCCCACCTCTCGCGACTAAGGCTGCTCGAAGACATTACTATGGCCAACGATCTAATGGCAAAAGTCATCATGAGTGCTTCAAAGGTTATTCGAAGCTTCTTCTTGATTCCCATGTTTGGTAGGGAAGTCGCTAATGAGCGTAGGAGGGAAAGAGGAGGAAGAAGAGAGTAACTGAGCATCGGGTAGTTTGTTGCAGCTTTTCAACGTATTCACATTGCAATTACTAACATATATATGTGTTGCAATTGTGTGTCATACCAGTTTTGAAATTTTTATTATCGGTTTGTTTGCAAGACTAACAAATTTTTGGGTATGCAAAGAAGTAGCTAAATCAGCTATTGATGAAGATCAACGCAAGCGAGAGGTGATGAAGATGTTCTAGAAGAAGAAAATGTTGGAGCAAATTCGGAGAAGGTACTTTTGTTGCATTTTGTCTTTGTTTTATTTTTCAATTACCACATTATCTATTGTTGCAATTCAAGGCGGGGGGCCAACAAGCTTACGTGGGGTGTCTATTTGTTTGGTATGCGGGAGGAGAGACTAGCGGAGGACATATTTCGGATGTTGAACCACCACTAGGTTCTCTTTTTTGTTGCATTTTGTCTTTTGTTTTCATGTTGCAATTACAGCCATTATCTGTGTTT